GCAGCTCCCTCCCCCGACCAGCGGCGGCCGCGGCGCGTTACAGGGGACGGCGGCGGGGTCCCTCTGCCTGGCTCCGGCTCCAGTCACCTTGGGGGGGTCACGGCACCGAGCCCAGCGCGCGGTGCACCCTGGGAAGCCCGCCCCGGTGGCAGAGAACTCTGGGGACCGCGCTCCTCGCGTGCCTGCCCCGCCCCCGCGAGTAACATGGCGCCCCTCGCCGCCAGTTAAACAACTACCTAGAGCTGCCGACAGACCGACCCAATAACAATCCCAAGCCGTCACCGCCGCCCCCAGCAGCAGCAGCACCGCTAACCACTCACCACCGGAAATGAGCAGATCTACTTCCGAGCCAGAGAAACCTAGGCCATTAACCCGGCCGTTAAGTCTCAGCGAAGTCCCGCCTCCTGCGCCCGCTGATTGGCAGGTGGAAAGTGGCGCCGTGGGGGATGCCGGGAGTTGTAGTCCTTGCCCTTGTGTGTGGGGGGGTGGTTGTGTTCGCGCTCCCTCCTCGCCTGGGCCCTGCACAGGCCTCGCCGCCCAATCCTCAGCGCGTTGCGCTCCCCTCAGTGCGGCGCTCGGAAGGCGGCGTAAGGACCCGGCGGAGCCGCCGCTAGCGAGCGGGGCGCGGGGGAGTCGTGCGGGCCGCTCCGGTCGGGGCGGGAGTTTCTGCGGCGGGTGAGTGAGGCGAGCGGGCCGGGGGGCCCGGGGCGCCCGGGGGAGGGGCGGGTGGACGGGAAGCGCCGCTCTCCGTATCCGGGGGAGGGGGGCTCGGGCCTGGCTGCGGCTCGTGTTTTGTTTCCGTTTCTCCCCGGCGCAGCGAGTCTCATTTCCGTTTCGGGTTCAAACAACAAGGAGGGAGGCGGCGGGGCCAGGGGCGAGGGGCCGGGAGCAGCCTCCCCTCGCGGGCTCTGTGCAGTCCTGGGGGGCGAGGGCGTCCCCAGGGCGCAGCGTTGCCCGCTGCCGCAGGCCCGGTCCCGTCACATGGCGGCTGTGGGGCGCCGGGGGAGGCCCGATGCTCCCAGCCAATTGCCCGGGAAACCCGTCCGCCTTGTCCCCCTTTCCCCCAGGCAGGGGGAGGCCTGGCTGCTGTCGCAGCTACTGAGCCTGGCTGGCGGGCCCGCTGCTCCCCGGGAGTCCATTGTCCAGTCCCCATCCCGAGCTCTCGCTGGCTCCCTCCCAGCTACATCAAAGGCCCGTCTCCGCCGGCGGGCAATAAAGGCGCTTCAGGCGCCCCGCACCTCTCCGCCCCGCGCTGTGTCAGTTCAGTCATAAAGGGGAAAGTGTGGCGATTGCCCGCGATTGTTGTTGTTCTGGGCGCAGCATACGCAATTGTGTCCACTGTGGACGCTGCTGTAAATCTCCTAGTTCTACTTAGTAAGATACCTGTTTTCTGGGACATCCTCTTAAAATTTTGTGCTAACTTTAGCTACAAGTGAATCATAAGATCAGTGTAACGGAACAAATGCAAAATGTTGTTTCTTGGTTTCTGTTTTGCTTCACTCTTGTGTGCATTAACCATTTGTTTTATAGTCAATTTCACTGGTATGCACTAGGTAGTCACCTTTCCCCATTCACACTTGTTTTTGTGTGCCATGCACTACAGTACTGGGAGAGGAAAACATTTTAAAGCACGGTAAAATATGACTGCAAGACCATGAAGATTGGCCCAGGCAGTCAAAGGCACAGAGTTAATGTTAACTAAAAATTTACTTGGATTTCAGTTTGATTGTACCCTTTCACATCCATTGTTTCCAATCTATGTAAATATTTAAGGTAATGTGCTGCTAGAGATTCATGGCCTATATAGCAGAGGGAACCGATTGGTTACTTTGTTCTCTGCTCACAGTTATTTGGCACAGAAACATTCACACTAGTCTGTTTCGCAATTACTTGTTTGTATTTGCAAAAAGAACAGGAGTACTTGTGGCACCTTAGAGACTAACAAATTTATTTGAGCATAAGCTTTCGTGGGCTACAGCCCACTTCATTGTATTTGTATCCTTATTCCAATACTTATATATTCTAATAGCACTAAGAGACTCTAGTTATGATTGGAGCACCATTTGTTCTGATTTTTTTCATTATAAACAGAAGCGCTCCTAATGCCAAGCTTTGGGCACCTTGACAGTTTCTTAAAGTATACTTCACTAACACAGACAGACTACAGCAATTACGCACAGATCACAATAACCAGGCTGCAGCATAAAACAAATGTAATACCCTCCCTCTCCCCCCCCACCCCCAAAACAGAATTACTGGTCATCCTCCTATCACTACCCAGCCATGCCCATCTCTGTAAATCTTTGTTCTGTGGATAAAAAGAGACACCTTGAAGTGTGTCCTGGAGGTTAACTAAGCGGTTACAGGACACCCTGCTAGCAGCCTCCTCTCTCTTGTACAGGTGGGTGGTGGGGGCATTGTCTAGCTTAGGAGCCTCTGCTTTCCACAACTGTGGCAATGGATCACAGTGACAGAAGAAGTCTCTTGGATAGCTACGTCCCAGGCCATTAGGGTTTTCCAGGTCAAACAAAATCTTAAAATGAAGAAGCCAATGGACTATGATCTAGGCCGGTTGAGTTCAGGTTTGATGTGCTCACAAAAAGAAATGCTGCTTAACAAGCCAGCTGCTGAATTCTGCAGCTCCTAGGTAGATTTAAGGCAAAGATAAAGATAAGTTTTAATTTCTTTGGCTATTAATCTAATGCTGACCTCACTTTGGAGAAAGGTTAAAAATGATAAATAAGAAAAAACCCCAAAAGAATAGTTTGACACTAACATACTGCACAAATTAGGTGATCATACCACATGCATTTTCATCTACATGCATTGATCATTGAACTTGGTGAGAGATAAGAGACCTCAGATGGAAAATCTTTTGTTTATTAGGTTTCAGAGTAACAGCCGTGTTAGTCTGTATCCGCAAAAAGAAGAACAGGAGTACTTGTGGCACCTTAGAGACTAACAAATTTATTAGAGCATAAGCTTTCGTGGACTACAGCCCACTTCTTCGGATGCATATAGAATGGAACATGCATATACAATGGCTGTAGTCCACGAAAGCTTATGCTCTAATAAATTTGTTAGTCTCTAAGGTGCCACAAGTACTCCTGTTCTTCTTTTTGTTTATTAGGTGTTTTGTAGATTAATACTGAATACATTCACCTATAAGAGGTAACGTAATTTTAAAAAAATAGCAGAAATAGATAACATATTTAATACAATAAATTTTTAGAAAAAGTTTTATAGCTGTCAACAGCTTTCATATTTCTTCCAAGGTCAGTATGTAATACATATGGGACAACAAAATCTCTCAAGTATTTTTAAAACAATTTGAAATTTAAATGCTATCATCCAATGAAAGGTAAACCTGACCAGTTCATACAGCATCCAGTAAGTGTACAAGCCTCCAAAGGAAGAGAACAAAAGCTACCTGATTTAGTTGGGAATTGGTCCTGCTTTGAGCAGGGGGTTGGACTAGATGACCTCCTGAGGTCCCTTCCAACCCTGATATTCTATGATTCTACCTCAGGATGTATGATTTCTGCACCTATATGTCTGTTTAAATTCCTGAATTTGCCTCCTCCCAGAAAAAAACAAAACCATCAACTTACTACTTCCATTTGCCAGAACAAGTATTGTCAACTGCTTCATGGTTTCTGCATCACCCTTCCATTTTAGAGCTGCGTAATTGGCTTTAGAGTTTGCAGCTGAAAACATTTTTGGTAAAAAGTATATGGAATTAACAAATCATTTTTATGTGAAACTATAATGCTCAAATTTTGCTTCCCTATAATTCATGAAACTACTTTAACAATTTTTCTTTTGCAGACCTGTTTTTGAGACTTTTTAGCCATGACTAAAAGAGATGCAGAGGAGCTGATAGAAATAGAAATTGATGGGACTGAGAAACAGGAGTGCACTGAAGAAAGGTATGTGCTTACGATCAATCAGTATTGCTTACTGTACCTCTACCCTGATATAACGCGACCTGATATAACATTAATTCGGATATAACGCGGTAAAGCAGTGCTCCGAGGGAGGAAGGCGGTGCATTCCGGCGGATCAAAGCAAGTTCGATATAACGTAGTTTCATGTGTTACATGTAAGATTTTTTTGGCTCCCGAGGACAGCGTTATATCAGGGAAGAGGTGTACTTGTGTCACTTGAGCTGAAAATAGTTTACAGGTTTTATCGTATTTAGGTCCTGCTCCTATAGAAATCAGTCTGTCTTGTCATTGTATTCAGTGGGGAGAAGACTGAGTTCTTATTTAAGAACATAAGAATGGCCATACTGAGTCAGATCAATAGTCCATCTAGCCCAACAGTAGCCAATGCCAATTGCTTCAGAGGGAATGAACAGACGAGGGCAATTATCAAGTGATCCATCCCCTGTTGTCCAGTCCGATCTTCTACCATTCAGACTTATGGACACCCAGAGCATGAGGTTGTCCCTGACCATCTTCGCTAATAGTCTTTGATGGATCCATCCTCCATGAACTTATCTAATTCTTTTTTGAACCCAGTTATATTTTTGGACTTCACAACATCCCGTGGCAATGAGTTCCACATGTTGACTGTGCATTGCATGAAGAAGTACTCCCTTTTGTTTATTTTAAACCTGCTGCCTATTAATTTCATTCAGTGACCCCCTGGTTCTTGTGTTAAGTGAAGGGGTAAAAAACACTTACCTATTTACTTTCTCCACACTATTCATAATTTTATAGACCTCTATCGTATCCCCACTTAGTCATCTCTTTTTCTAAGCTGAACAATCCCAGTCTTTTTAACCTTTTCTTATATGGAAGCTATTCCATACTCTTAATGGTTTTTGTTGCCTTTCTCTGTCCTTTTTTCCAATTCTAATATATCTTTTTTTGATATGGGTCAACCAGAACTGCATGCAGTATTCAAGGTCTGGGTGTACTATGAGTTTATTTAGTGGCATTATGATATTTCCTATCTTATTACCTGTCCCTTTTCTAATGGTTCCTAACATTGTTAGCATTTTTCACTGTTGCTTCACATTGAGCAGATGTTTTTAAAGAACTGTCCACGATGACTCCAAGTTCCATTTTTTGAGTGGTAACAGCTAATATAGACCTCATCATTTTGTACGTATAGTTGGGCTTATGTTTTCCCTTGTTATTACTTTGCATTTATCAACATTGAATTTTATATGCCATTTTGTTGCCCAGTCACCCAGTTTACTGAGATCCCTTTGTAACTCTTCTTAGTCAGCTTTGGACTTAACTATCTTGAGTGATTTTTGTATCGTCTGCAAACTTTGCGATCTCACTTTTCACCCCTTTTCCGAGATCAATTACGAAAATGTTCAACAGGATCCCATTACAGTTCCTTGGTGAACCCCACCTCCCCCCCCCCGCCCCCAGCTATTTACCTCTCTACACTGTGAAAACTGACAGTTTATTCCTACCCATTGTTTCCTATCTTTTAACCATTTACTGATCCATGAGAGGACCTTCCCTCTTATCCCATGACTGTTTACTTTGCTTAAGAGCCCAAGGTGAGGGACCTTGTCAAGGGCTTTCTGAAAGTCCAAATACACAATATCCACTGGATCATCCTTGTCCACATTTGTTGACACCCACAAAGGGTTCTAATAGAATGGTGAGGCGTGATTTCCCTTCATCGGTGTTGACTCTTCCCCAACATATCATGTTCATCTGTGTGTCTGATAATTCTGTTCTTTATTATAGTTTCAACCACTTTGCCAGTTAATGAAGTTGGGTTTATCAGCTTGTAATTGCCAGGGTTGCATAAGGAGCCTTTTTTAAAAATTGGTTGTGCATTAGCTATCCTGCAGACATCTGGTACAAAGGCTGATTCATATACTGCAGTTAGTAGTTTTACTATTTCATATTTGAGTTCCTTCAGAACTCCTCTTAGTGAATACCATCTGGTCCTGGTGACTTATTACTGTTTATCAGTTCATTCCAAAACCATCTCTATTGACCCCCTCAATCTGGGACAGTTCCTCAGACGTGTCATCTAAAAAGAATGGCTCAGGTGTGGGAATCTCCCTCGCATTCTCTGCGGGGAACACCAATGCAAAGAATTCATTTACGTTCTCTGCAGTCGCCTTGTCTTTCTTGAGTGCTTCTTGAGCACTTTGATCATCCAGTGTCCCCACTGATTGTTTAGCAGGCTTCCTGCTTCTGATGTTCCTATTTTGCTGTTAGTTTTTGTCTCTTTTGCTAGTTGCTGTTCAAATTCTTTGGCCTGTATAATTATGCTTTTACACTGTTATTTAGGCATGGCGGTCTTTTTTTTTTTGATTCTCTTACTGGTTTTGTTTTGTTTGTTTCTGGGGCGGGTAGGGGAATACATTTAGTTTGAGCCCCTATTATAGTGTTTTTAAATAGTTTCCATGCAGTTTGCAGGCATTTCATTCTTGACCATTCCTTTTTAATTTCTGTTTAACTAACTTTCTCATATATTTGTGTATTTCCTCTTTTTGAAGTTATAAGCTGCTGTGGTGCATTTCTTTGGTATTTTTCCCTCTATGAGGATGTTGAATTTAATTACACTATGGCTGCTATTACCAAGCAGTTCAGCTATATTTACTTCTTGGGCTCAGATCCTGTGTGCCACTTAGGACTAAATCAACCATTGCCTCTCCCCTTGTAGGTTCCAAGACTAGCTGCTCCAAGAAGCAGTCATTAATGGTGTGTAGAAATTTTAGCTCTGTATCCCAACCTGAGGTGATGTGCCCAGTTAATATTGAGTTTTCTGGTTTTGTAGCCTTTCTAATCTCCCTGAATATTTCACCATCACCATCCTGGTCAGGTGGTTGGTAGTATATTCCTACTGCTATTCCTATTGCTATGCTTTTATTTTTTTAAACATGGAATTTCTAGCCATAAAGATCTAGTGCTTTTGGCCTGGACATAGGAAAATCAGACTAATGGGAAAAAAATTGTTTTACTATGCCGAAAGGAAGCCATAACACACAAGATGTAACTTGCTTAGGATGACCCATGGTATCCTGTTGTTAATTGTTGTGACTGCCATTTCTAATCCTCTCACCACATTCTGTAAATATTTCTTCTATGCTATTTTCCTTAAGGTCATTTACCCTTTGTCAAACTAAATGATTGTAGTAAAAACAACCTTATTGTAGAAATGGAAATCACTTTTAGAACTAAACAAATCTTCAAGCAGCAATTAAGACCTTCAATACCCTGATTACAGTGTATGATGGGTCTGCATTGTTTGTGATTTCTCAGTCATTTTTTCTTTGTCTGTTACTTTTACTCTGGTTCTGTTCGTTTTTTCTCTTCCTTTCCTTTCTTCACGTCACTCTCACTACTTTGACAACTCCTCAGGAGCATGTTAGTGAAGTCTGCAGCATGTGTACAGCCATTAAATCAGTATGTTCTTCTCTAGCTGCCATTCCCAAGTGCTATAGAAACTTCAGATTCCAAGTTTATGCCATCACTTTTCCTATCAAAGGGATGTAAACCAAAGCAGTTTGTTACTAGAACAGAGGGGGAAGATAATATCCATGACATTAATAGCGCAGCCACCATTGCTGCAAATACCAGAGATTAAAAGCCTTTTGCCCTACATGAGTTACCTTACTTCTCTGTCTAAACCTGCTCCTACTGCTTAATTACCACTGTCTACATTTGGGGGGGGGGGAGGGAGAGCATGGCTCTGTTACCTACTCTTGAAGAATTTCCTTCAGGTATTAGCCCCTTTGAATTGGAGAAAAACATATAACTGGACAACATAAATCCTGCCTCTAAGTCTGATTTCCTCTTTATTTTTAACAAATTGAGTATTCTCCTATATTTTGTACGTTTCCTCTGTACATAAGCCAGCCCCTCAAAGCTCTCCTTAGGATCGGAACTCCATACCATTTAACGAAATGTGCAAGTGTCTGGGTCAACATAGCTTTAAAAGTAGGTGACAAAACCAAGGTCACTCTTCAGGTTTCTCCTTGTAGCATGCAAACTTCTATATTCTTTTATGTTATCTGCAGTGTGCATGGAGTTTGACCCATTCTTAATATGAAAACGTCGAGTGAAATTTTTCTACCTGCTCTGTACTATAATCATTATCTTTCCTTCATCAGCTAATATTCCTAGCTAAGTGCCTGCTTTATCCTGCTGTCTGTCCTTACTATATGCTAACCTTTAGACTTGCACCACGATGAGACTGGATACCCATGTGTGCCCTGCTCTAGAAGCTGTGGCTGCAAGTGAGTCACTGCAGTGCTCTATATAAATGCCTGAATGCTATTGCACTGAACCCCATTTATCCCTCCCAGGACTAATTATTTCCTTGCAGACTTCTTGGAGAGTCAAAGGGGAAAAAATTATTTAACAAAAGATGGCAACAATTCAACTCCTTCCCCAGTTCCAGGTGATGCCAGAGTCATTCCTACCTGCCGGGTGGATTTCTCAGCTCTTTCTGTTTCCCCTAGTCTGTCAGTTTCTTCCCTTTCTCCAGTTCACCATCACTTGGTGCTCTGCCCAGCTCCTGTTAACAGTTCATCCCCTCGCTCTCCCGTGACGGGGAAGGTGTGTGTGTTGGGCTGGGGTTCTGCTTTCTCTTTATTTTCCAACTGCCATGGAATCTTCTGATTCCAACATTCCATCCCTTTTCTGTTTAAAAGGGAGTCACCAGAGCATTCTGCTTGCTGTTGTGAGTAGAGTAGAGAGAAGGAATCTCGTTATGGGCATACGTTTTCATTACGTTAACAGCAATGTCACCATCACAACAAATACCCAAGTTTATTAATATTCTGCAGGAGTTCCTTGGATACCAAAAGGGTTTTCAGAGTCAAACAAGTGTCTTGACTTTTGCCTTTTTGCCCCCTAAGTCTGTTCGTTTTCCTTTTGTTTGTCTGGAAATATACATATAAACATTTTTTAAAAATCAGATAAAAGGATAGGGGCTGTTTGTGGGTGCAGAGATCTGCCTACACAGAACAGCCTTCAGGATGGGTCCTGTGTTAGCCCATCTGAAAAATGTTGGCATTTCCAAATGCATTACCTAGTTTCTTTGCACTCATCTAATTCTTTTTCATTTGGGAGAATGAATACAGAAGTGAGCAAGCAATATCCCCATTTTACAATTTTTCTAACTAATTAGAGATTTGGAAAAGAAATTGAGTCAGTGAGTTGTATTGTCCTAGCATTTCTGAGATCAGGGTTCTGCTCCTGTCATTTCCCCAAATCTCCTACTTAACTATTGACAAGTCACTTAAATTCTGTTCCTCACTTAGTTCGTGGTGACCTTTGGAGAGTGCAGGAAGTGACTATTTCTATTCCTTTTGACTTGTTTACATGATTTTTTTTAGTCACCATGTTGGTGTTTTGTTTTTCCCATTTTTATTGGCAGATTTCTTGTTTTCAAAAATGGCAGATTTTTATTTAAACATTTTACTATTTTTGCCCCTAACAGTTGCCTTGCCTCTTACACCTGCCAGTTTTAATATTTGTTTCAGATTTTAATTGTGATGGGATACATTTGGACAAAAAGAAGAACATAGACATTCAATAAGTTAGGGTTACCATATTTCCACAATCAAAAAAGAGGACACTGGGGGGGGGGGAGCCCCGCTCTAGCCCCGCCCCCGCTCTAGCCCCGCCCCATCCACTCCCTCCCACTTCCCACCCCC